ATCCGTGAGAGTGGAGTCAGTGCAAAAGAATTCAATGTTTGTTCGCCAAGTATCATAGTCTATTTCATTAGCTGAGTATGAGGGCTTTCCAGAGAAAGGTCTCAAGCGCATAGTAGTAAGGGAATGTGAAGGAGTATCACTTCTCACAATATGCTCAACAACCAATCGCTGCACTTCAGCTGGAGTCACATCACTCACTGTTAATTTCAGTGGTGTGCCCATGTCAGCATTGAGCCTGGAAGGTGAAGCACTAATCTGGGGCAAAGAATTATTTGACTTTGTTTGGAAAATGACTGACTCATTTGAGGGTGTGACATCACCATGTGCAGATACCATAGTAGTCTGCGTTGGCTCTACCACTCTTTTCTGAGAGCCTTCAGGGTCAGACTCAGTTGTCAGAAACTCTGATTCAGTCTGTGGGGGAGACACAGCAGAGGCTGTGAGTTTAGCCAGCTCGTCCTGTAAAAGCTCTTCCAATGGCTTGCCAGTTACTTTTGAAATTTCTCGTAGCCCTTCAATGAAAGTGTGAGTTGCACTGCTGCTAGCAGCTGGAGTATATACACTGGTAAGTGACTTAATAGTATAAGTAACATCAGATGAGGTAGGGCTCTGAAAGGCAGTTGGAAGAGATTGTTCTAATAACTGCATCGCTGAGTCATTCTTAAATTCAACAATGATTTGCCCATGAAATTCTGTCTTTGGTTCATCAATACGGATTAATCGCTCAATTGATCCATAATCTGACAAGTGTTTTAACACTTCATCATCTCTCTCAGTGTGAGTTAACCCACTGATTATCACAGCATTGCGAATACAAATGTTTTCAGCGTGCACTATTTCCATTTTGAAATTATCTCAAACACCCTGATTAAATTTGATTTGTACTATCTGTACAACAGGCTCCTGGCTGGCTCGCCAAGTTTTTCTGTAACACCTGTTTACACCTATAATAATTGTTGTGCTAATTTTATGTGTTATTTCCTGAGTGCAAAGATGTTATTTGGACCAGTTAGGTTCGACTATGGAGCCTGTAAATAGTATGAATAAATATTTGAGAAAAGAAAATATTCCACGTGGTTTTTTCTTTAAATCAGCTGGTAGTTTACTATATGAAATGGCCAATGGAAAAAAAAAGAAAAAAAATAAACTAAAGTTTAACAGTAAAAATAAAACAGTATAATTGTATCAGAAAAATACAATTGACAATATTGTACAGCACATACAATCCTAAAGGTGCACCTTCTAAACACACTTATGTCTCTTTAAGCATGTAATTTTCCCATTCATGAATTTTTTGTATCTCACAGAAAAGAGTTACACTGTGAATTAGTTGGCTTTCTTAAAACCACTAAAGCTCAAAGAATCAATAATCATTACAGTCCAACAGACTTTGTTCTTTTTTTTTCTTTGTACAAAAAAAAACCCAAGTTGTCAAAATCCAAAAAAAAGTCTTTCTTAAGTCTCTTTAACTTCAAATCAGTCTATTCCCTTTTTGTTTATAAAAAGAAAAGAACAGTTCAACTCAAATCCGTGTAACGCGGATGGCAGAAGGAAAAAATATGAAAAATATAGGTCTGTGAGACAGTCCAGGAATTTCTCAGTATTTCCAACCGAGAATGATGAAGAAATAAAAAAAATAAGTAAGCTTAGATCCCACCTCATAAAGCGGAAAAAACCGTAGTATAGCGATGGGAGATCAATTCAGTCAATCAAGTGTCCAGATCCGTGGGAGGCTCGCCATCAACTGATTTCCAGAACATTCAGTTCCACCAATCAAAAACCTGACCTGTATTTTAGGCCAAAGATAACAGGAAATGTCCATATTTAGTTTGTATATTGTAAATAAAAAATACAATTAGGACACTGCGTTTTGCTGAAAGTACCTTTTCATTAAAGCAATTAACTTAATCAAGCTTAAACATAACCTTCTTATAAAACAATTAACAGACTAACAAGCTAAACTCAAATAAAATGTTTACACAGAATAAAGACCAGGACAAAAATCACTATAAAAGTATAAACACATTAATTTAAACTCAGGGTTTTACTTAAAGCATATATGTTAAAGGGATTTTATCATACAAATGCGTAGGCACTTGTTTACTGATCGTTATCAGATTAGCGTTCGACAAACTTCAACAAAAACAAGGCAAAAACATGCTAAAAGTGTTAAACACTCACCAAATCCCTTTCATAAGATGATTATTTGTGTATTTCGGCACAAATAGCGATGTTTAGATGCACTAATCTGCGTCAGATCTGCTCCGTCACCCCTCACAAAATGGAGGATTCAACGCTGCCTCGTCAGAGAAGCACTTACTCCGAAAAACTGATTTAAAGGGCCAGTACCCCTTTTTTACATACATAATACAAATGAACCAAAAATGACTCAGATAAATGAAAAATCATAAAAAACATTCTATCCACTAAAAAGAAAATATCCTTTTCTTATTTATATAAGATTTGAAGAAAAATAACATTTATTTAATTACATCAGTATACTATGTAATGTGTGTTTTGCTCATCTTTATTTATTTATATATTTTTAATACTCGTTCTGTGTGACTTAATTCACCTGTGCTACACGCAGATAATAGTTTTTAATTGATAACGTGTGGGGGAGGTGTCCGAAATGCGTTTAGAGAACTTTACTCACAGAGATACAATCCACTTTTCAATGACGTGTCTTTAGGACTTTCCCAATTTGAAAAAAAGCTCTGCAAACACTTTTCACATATTGAAATCCGAGGCAAGTTTGAACAAAAAGTTGCTGTTCTTCTAACACCCGACATGGTTTAATCCTTGAACCAGCTAATTAACAACAGAATGCAATGGGGTGTAGAGGAAACAAATGTCTATCTCTTCCCCAGGCCAAAATGTTTCACACACTACTATGGTCAAGACTGCTTGAGACACAAATTATGAAAAAACAGCAACAGTGTAGCTCGCAAGAATTTCCAAGCTGCTCTTTGCAGTGGACAAAGGCTGTCTTGGAATCCTCCAGGGAAAGTGACCTGATGGCATTCAAATTGAAGGTCTGTGAAAATTGTTCAAATACTATCCCAAAAAGAGAATAGCTACCAAATATATAAACATGGTATGATTTTATATCAAATGCATTGAATGAATACCGAAGAAGATGAGAATGGGGAATTTGCTTGTGACCATTTCCTAAGCAAACCAAAAGGGACGGAAGCCTGCCTGACAGAAGCAGTGACAAAAGCCTGCCTGAATGAAGGTAATTATTGCATCAGCCTAAAAAAGGTATTGGCAGCAGCCTTTTAAGTGCAAATCGTCATCAATTGTTCATCAATAAAAAAACTAAATCGGTAGTACTTTATAACTGTACACTATGAATAGTTAAGCATTAGCAAATATTTAATTCATTTAAGAAATATTTTTGCATTAATAGACATTAGTATGCAGTTATTACAATATGACTGAAAAATAAGATGTATAAATTTTACTCTTTTTACAAGATGTAAGATTTATCTTTGTGGTTTCCAGATGGTCTAAAGTTTCAGCTCAAAACACCAATCAAATTATGTATTACAGCCTGCTGAAGATGAACATTTATAGTAAGATGACATTCTAGCATCTTTTTTATTGCCTTAATATGCAAATGAGCTGCTTCTTTCAACCCATCGTTCCTACACGCATGTCTACTTTTACTGCGTCATGTTTGGATAAACAGTACAGAGACAGACATGAGACAGATGAAGCAGACAGTCAAAATAACAAGTAAGGTTATTTTATGTATTTGCGGTGGAGCACATTTAAGCCTTTTTGCAACAATGAACTTCTGTCTAAACAGCTTCCAAAAGATGAATTTGCATCATAGATGCCCTTTAAAGGTAACTAGTAAGCATGATATCTTTTAAATATGATCCCTCCCATGTCATCCAAAGCCACGCCACCTGAAATCGCGAACACGCTCATTAAAGATGACAGAGAACCATTAAATCATGCCATTCACCAGTTGTACTTTATAATACTACAATTCTGAACACAAACTGTATTATATCTAGCATGTTTTTAGTCATTTCCCAGAGATGGGTTGTGGCTGGAAGGGCATGCGCTTTGTAAAAAACTTGCTGGATAGGTTGGCGGTTCATTCCGCTGTGGAGACCCCGGATTAATAAAGGGACTAAGCCGACAAGAAAATGAATGAATAAATGAATGTTTTCAGTCATGTAGTTAGCAAGCAAATCTTGTCATCAGTCTCTCATCAGACTCACTCTCTCACACACTTTGTCCTAAAGCCGCTACTGTATGCTTAGTGTTTAGCCTGCGGCGTGCAGGAATTACACTTATTAATGAGCCAAACTTGTATGCTATTTCAGACCGAATATTCAAAGTAGCATGGTGAACATTATAGGGACCACACAGTTTCTCATTGTTCAAAAATAAAGCAATGTGAATAAAAAAACAACTTCAGCTCAGTAAAGCAGGCTAAGCGGAATAGCGCTATTTACTGATGTTTTGTTGTTAAACTAAATAAAAATCTACATTATCGATGCTGTAAAAGGTTTCTTATAAAACTGTAAATAGTCACATAACTTGTTCATCAGAAGATTTCAGTGGCTGAGCAACACTTCTCTGCATATACCCCATTCATAACAACCCAATCTACATCAGCTCTGCATGACTGAAAGATTTTTAAAACAGAACATTACCTGTCTAACAGAAATACTTCAGCCATGGTGTCGTCCTTTCAGGATTTGTAAAAGTTTTGATTCTGCATTTGTTTTGACTGTGGATCTGCGTGGACATGTGCGCAGTAGTTCAAATCTACTTTTGTTCACAGTTTGGGCTACTTATCAGAATTATGGGAATATTCGGCCTGATATTTTTTTAATAAGATGAATTTTTTTTATTTTATTCCTTAAAAAACTTTTTAAAAAGTGCACGTAAATACATTTAGATTTGCATTTGAGTACTGAAATTAGCATGTAAGCTAACAAATCACTCATGTTCTCATTCACAATAGAGACACTGGGTTTCCCATTCAACGATTTATTTGAAGTAATGTTGGAGTTTTCATATGAACGTATATTTAAAGGCGAGCAGTTGTCTATAGAAAGTTTAATTGTCTTCATGAAGAAAACTTGTTTCTTTTCAGAGATGAGTCCATCAAAATAAATGTGTAGTGTTTTAAAACCAAAGTCTTCATTTGTTACCCACAACACATCAAGATTTGATCAAGTCAAAATCTCATAATCTGACACAAATCTCATCTGTCGTAACTGACAAATGGCATTGTGTAGTCTGAACAGGGCTTTAGTGAGTATAAAAGATAACGACGAAGATAACAGAGGTAAGAATCTCTTGTCCTTTATAGGGCGCCAGGAATCATCCGATTGGTGAATCGTGTTAGCCAATGCTGGACCAGTCGTGAACAATAATAAGCATGTGATCCTCTCGAAAGTAGTTTATAAATAAACTTCATGTCAATGAACAGCCAAACTACATGAAAAAGCTGCCGTTTTCAATATACTCGTGTTTGTGTGGACAAGGTCTCAATGTTGAGGACTCTGCTCTGCATTGTGAAGCTTCATGTGAGCGCTGAGGTTTATTTTTTGTTTAAAGCCTTTTCCACACTCACTGCATCTAAAACGATCCTCTCTTGAGTGAGTCTTCATGTGTTGCTTAATGTAGTCTTTGCGTGTGAGACTCTTTCCACACTGATCACATATGAACACTATGATTCCAGAGTGACCATCCATGTGGTTCATGAGGCTAGTTTTGGTTGTGAAGCTCTTTCCACACTGAGCACATGCAAACGGCTTTTCTCCAGTGTGACTTATCATGTGGTTATTGAGTGCGCTTTTACATGTGAAACTTTTACCACACTCTGTAAATCTGTAAGGTTTCTCTCCAGTGTGGATCATCATGTGGGTGTCAAGCTTTTGTTTTTGAGCAAAACTTTTTCCACACTGTGTGCAAGTAAATTTTTTTCCTCCATTGTGAGTTCTAATGTGGTCTTTAAGGTTGCCACTTTGCGTAAAACTCTTTCCACACTGTTGGCATGTGTAGGGCCTCTCTCCAGTGTGAATTCTTTTGTGCACTGCAAAGTTTTCTGCTTGACAGAAGCTTTTTCCACACTCTTGGCATGTGTACGGCCTCTCTCCAGTGTGAATTCTCATGTGGGTTTTGAAGCTTTTTTTTTTACCAAAACTCTTTCCACACTGATCGCAAGTGTAAGGTTTCTCCCTAATGTGAACTCTCATGTGAACACCAAGGTTAGGCTTTTGACTGAAACTCTTTCTACACTGTTTACTGCTGAAATTACACTCAGTTTTGGATTTCCGAGATCTTCCGAGTGATGAAGTCTTTTCAGTCAGTGTGGGTTTTTCATCAGCTGTTATTTCTTGGTGTTGCTCTTCCATTTTATTCCATTGTTGAGTCTCTTCTTTCAGCACCATCAGGTCTAAAAAAAAAAAAAGTGAATTTTAGTATGAAGGCACAAAGCGACAAGCATGAAATGGATCTTTCACCCAAAAATTTAAATGACCTTACCATTTACTCTGCGTCTTTTAAATATTTTCTTTCTTCTGGAACACAAAGTAAGCCAGCATGTTTTTCACAATATCTTATTTTGTGTTCAGCAGAATCAAGAAACTCAAAGATTTAAAGCCACACGAGGGAGAGTAAATGGTGAGGCTATTTTCATTTCTGCGTTAAATATCCCTTTAAAGGGTTCCTATTATGAACCTTTTTTTACAGGATGTAAAGTAAGTCTTTTATGTTTCCAGAATGGGTCTGGGGTTTCAGCTCAAAATCAGAACATAAACCTTGCAGAATATTTAATTTTGGGGGTCAGAGATAAACCAAGCTCTTTTTGTGCCTGTGGCTTTAAATGCAAATGATAAAATGCACTCGGTCTAGATTACTCCTGTTGTGTTCCCTCATGTGTATCTTCCACTCAACATTTTTAACATGCTTGGAAGACCTGGTTGAGACAAATTCTGCATGTTCATAGCAATTACGGATAATTCAGCTTATATTTGTAAGCTTGCATTATTGTATATAACTTATGCAAATGTTTCCCTCTACTGGGTTGCAGCTGGAAGGGCATCCGCTGTTTAAAACATATGCTGGATAAGTTGGTGGTTCATTCTGCTGTGGTGACCCCTAATGAATAAAGAGACTAAGCTAAAGGAAAATGAATGAATGAACTTCTGCAAATGCTTAATGCCACATTTGCTTTAAACTGTAGTGATGAGAATATGGCATGATGACATACTTTGCTACTTGTTTTCATTCATTTGTACTTTTGTCTCAGTTTTCTTGCCTTTGTGCATGTCCGGAGGCTTAGCTGAAGACCTATATGGTGACATTTTATATACTCGACAAGATGCAGAAATGCCATTTAGAAAGGTTACCTGCTGTTTGTCTAATCGGGAACAGTGACAATGTAAATATACAAATAAAAGCGTTACCCCGATGTTTACCAATGTGAAACGTCTGTTAATGAACACCCAGGATTATTTTATAAGCCCTAGGGGCTGTTTCATAAAAGTGGTTTAAAAAAGCAGGGATTAAAGTCAAAAACTTGACTTTAGTGAGCTGAACTAAATGTCCACACTTTAATTGGTTCCATAACAGTAAGTTGAAGATTATTTGATGTAACTAATCTGAGTTCAGCCAAAATAATCTAGATAACTATTCGTGCACGTTACTGTCATGAAACCCTGAAGGTCGAGCACAGATGCATCATGATTATGTTGTATGCTACCTTGGCAACTACGATGAATGAAAGAGCTCTGAAACAAGACACCACAGTGTTCACAGCGAGTGAATAGCATTTGATTCAAATATAAGTTCAAATATATAATAATTTAAACAATCAAAAAGTACAGCTTGAAACAAAGCAAGAAAGAGGGCTGACAGGAAACTGCAGATTTTAAAATATAGGTCATTATTTAGGCCTATTAACGTTAAGTTAAATATTTGTCACAATACATTGAAATATTTGCTTGTGTGCAAGAGAGAGAATACACGCTCGCTGCAAATTGTAGCTTGCAAGGAAAAGTCTTAATGCATTGGAGGTATACTGTAACATTCAAAATGTACTTAACGTAAGCACAATAAGTTTAAAATAATGGCCACAAAGAGCCGTGCACACACAAGCAGTGGGATTTGTTATTTGCTCTCGAAACTGCTGCAAATTGCTGCTTTCTATTTAAAAACATTTGTTGCCCTTTGAAAACATTTGTTTATTTAAAGTGCTGTCAAAATTAGAGGGTTAACTCATGCAATTAATTTTATATATATATATATATATATATATATATATATATATATATATCAAATGTTTTTAAAAAAATGAACGCAGTTGCTGTTATACTTCCTGTTGTAGTCATGCAAAGAAATATGCATAAGACCAAGGAAGCACTTTTAGAAGGAACGTTTCAGTATAAAATAATTAATGAAAAAAATTAATGCTGCATTACCAGGCTTTCCAGCATTACATCTAATTTAGTGCGTTTAATTTTTAATCTTCAGACTTTTGCTGTAATAGAAAATGATACCACATACCGAACGGAAAGAAAAACCTCTGCATTTCGTGACTCTGTGTTCCTTTAAGGTAATTGAATAAAAAAAAAAAAGAACAACTGTTTACATGGTAGACTCTTAATAAGAGTACTAATCATATTAAAATGGGAGTATTGGTGTCTATATAAATGTACTCAGTGAAAGTGTCAGATGATGTCGCGAGCTGTCCAAGACATCTGCATTCGTCTGCTTTTAAGATGATTCCATGTGCGCTCAAATGATTTATTAAGTTTGATGTGTTTCCTCAAACGCAAATTTTGTACAGCGCCTGCTTCACGTTGCTTTGTCAGAATCCTTGTGAAATATAGCCATACTTAAGAACACATGGTTTAAGCAAATTTGATGAATGCGATCGCATAAAAAAATGCAAAAAATGCGAAAACGCATTAGTGTAAATGGGGCCATAGTAGTGACCTGATCTCATATGCTATTGTTTTAGAACCTCCAATTTAGTTGCCTATTGGAGAAATGACCTGGAATAATAAATGGCTACTTGCTCTAAAAACAAATGTGTTCATGACTATTCATACAAAGAAAAATAATAAAATGAGAAAATATGACTGCAACATCAAGCAGCATTAGACATGGGCCAGTATAAGATTCTGACGGTATGATAAGCTTGTATAAAAAGATCACGGTTTCACTGTATTGTGATTACTGCTCTAAAATATATTCTTTTTAATCTCTGGGTAAAAAAAAAACAAGAACTTTTTCCCTTTGAACACAATATATATTTTCTATTAAGAAACTTTGAGGCTCAGTTTCACAAACAGGGCTTAGATTAGGCCGGGACTAGTCCTTAGTTAAATTAGGCTATTTAAGCCAAATTTATAAAAATGGCCTTAGTAAAATATATTACTGGTGTGCACCTGGAGAAAAAAAAATACACTGATGTATTTTATCTCACGGAAAGTTATTTTGAGTTGAGACCACTCAAACATGCAATTTAATCTTGACTAGCCTTAAACCTTGTTTGTGAAACCGGGGAGAAAGTATTATGGAGCAGTAAACATATCAGGCTGAATCATTCAAATGAATCATTCGTTTCAAAAACACAGATTTCTTTACAATTTAAAATGACATCTTTGGATATCTTTTTTGCTGGAGATACTGTTGTCTTGAAAAACTTATTACAAAATGTAAAAAAAAAAACGTACATATACTGTCGTACTGTGGTATACCTTGAAAACGGTTACCTAAGCATACCTAAGCAGAATAACCCTGTTTTAAGGATCTAAAAATAAATTCTTTAAAAAAAAGTCTCAAGTAAAAAGATTCCAATGACGACGCCTGCTGGTACATGAAGAATTTGGTCAATACTGACGAACTTCACACTCAAATGTTTGCATATCATCAGCATGCTGTAATCCATTTCTTAAGCAGAAAAAGTCATTTTAGACTAGTTTGTTGGCCAGTTGCAGTCAGTGCAATGCCAAACGTTATTGTTCCTCTATATTTAGTTTGTTTTGTCTCACGTCATCCCACAGCAACATCTTATAGCTTAGAAACTGTACAATGTTTTATAACAATTATTGTAGTGTCCATTTCATTCAGCATATTTAATATTGGGGGAATCCACATCATTTGACAAACTGTAAACCAGGGTTTCTGCAGGTTTCTTTTTATGACATTTTTAAGACCATTATGAATGAAATTTTAGACCCATAAAGGGATAAAGCTAAAGAATTTTTCAAATGGTCCAGATGGAAAAGATTTTTATTTGCCCCATTAAAAAAATAAATGAAAAAAATTATAAATTATATATATATATATATATATATATATATATATATATATATATATATATATATATATATATATATATATATATATAATAATTTTTTATATGTATTTTAGATATTTCTAGCTAAAGATTTTAAATTTTGTGTTTGATTTTGGATCCTAAGACATTTTATGACGCAGCGGAAACCCTGTTTAAACACAATAGCCCTGGTAATTAGTTATTATAATAATGATGTACTTCTAACTCAGATATTATCTGTGAGAACTAGTAACAACTACTAGAAACAAGTTTAAACCCATAAAGAAGTTGATAAAAAAAAGGGAATTGTGATCAACGTGACGTATGCAATTGGAAAGTACTAAGCCAACACTATCAATGTAGTAGCTGATATCTACTAGGAGAATACTGTAGGTCAAATATCAGCAGCTCAGTTCAACTTTTTAAATTTATTTTAGAAAGTGCCGGTGCTCAAGTACGCTTCACAAACAGCAGGAGAACAAGAAAAGCAATAACCTTAAGAAGGTACAGAAAATGGGAGACTAATAATACATTAAATAATGACAAAAGTTATGAGAACAAGTAACAAGAAGGAAACTCATTCTGTCTTTCAATGAGTGCTTATGTGCATTTAGAAGAACTAGGCAGCACACTCAGGGCTGCAAGATGGATTTAATTTAGTATTCTTATTATTAAAATATATCTGAATGAGGATCAAATGACTGAGTTGGTGTTTAAGAATGAAAATCAACCTGTTTGTTCCTGCAGATCTTCCTGTTTGACTGTGAATGTTTCTTCAATCTTCACATCTTCACTCTCTTCTTTAATAAACGCCATCTTTATAACAGTGTGGAGATCAGTCGCTTCAGCAGGAGTTTTTCTCTGAGTTTGGACACTTTATCCTGTTTAAAATAAACAAAACAATAAAAATGTTCTGTTGAAAATTTATAAAACAATGAACAGAAATAAAATAACTTCTCTTCAACACTTGCTTCAACAGTTTCTTTATATGAGAGTAATTAACAAAAAGAAATCAGATAAGTCTGAGCAAGAAACTATAGCCAAAAATGAGCTGATGAAACCTAGTACTCCATTTCTTAAGCCTGGTTTATAATTCTGCGTCAAGTGACCGGCGCAACTCACGGCGCAGGCAACGCGCGCAGCTGTGCATTTATACTTCTGCGCGCTGTCTCCGTTGGTCTGCATTAACACTTCCGAAACGCTAGTGGGCAGTGAGGTGTAAATGTTCCTCTGTGTCGAGTTTCTTCGCTTCTGTTTTGCTATTCTGAACACTTCCTGGATGTACAAGTGACTCAAACTCGCTCATTTTGAGGCAGGAACCGGCGGACGTGCAACAACTTTAACCATGAGGTAAACAAAGAACAAAACTTTCCATTCGGAACTCCTTCACGGGACTCCACACTTGTAAACAATCGCTCGCGCCATTCGCGCGGCTTTCGGTCCCGCCCAGACTCGTCGGCGCTAGCAAGCCGACCAATCACAGAGCTTGCGCTACGCGTTGTTGCGACGTGTAGTTACAATTTTTGAGAGGTGCACGTCAGTGACGGCGATGGCCACGGCGAAGGGCTATGCGTCAGCGCCGTAGCCTACGCCGGTGTTTGACGCAGAAGTATAAATCAGCCTTTATAGTGATGTATACTTAGAATAGATTGACATCATGCTGTTTAATAAATTAAAACTTCACTAAAACACTCATTACACACTTTACTGTTGCTACAACAAAAATAAATCAGGTAAAACGTTTCATTAAAACACGTATTACACACTTTTCTGTTACTTTATTCAAACAATAGCCCTCGATTACTGAGAATAAAATAGTACTACGTTGTATAAAGGGTTAAAATAATATTTCCAACAGCAAGAACATAATTTTGCATCGTATAAACAATCCTAAAACTTTAGTACTTTAACTTTAAATCGGGTTATATCTGTAAAACTTTTAAAGCAAACCTTTCTCCAGTTGAATCACCGCGCTGTAGCGGCGCCGCCTGATGACGTCACGTCACGCCAAAATAAAAGTCTTTTGTTTAGCTGTTTTGCCACTCTAGGCAAGGCAAACTTTATTTATAGAGCACAATTCTACACAACCGTGGTTGATCCAAAGTACTTTACAATAAAATAAACTACACAATAAAATAAAAAACTAGTATTTAAAATACAGGAAAATGTATGTTTAAAAGTAATACTAAAATACAAATAAAAAATAATACGAATTTGTCACTCAAAGGAAAGAAGTAAAAATAAGTCTTTAAGTTAGATTTAAAAGCATCCAATGATGTAGCAATCCCGATATTCAGAGAAAGACTGTTCCAGAGCCTTGAGGCCGCAACACAGAAACCTCTATCACCTTTTGATTTGCAGCAAGACCAAGGGACAGACAAAAAAAAAAAGCGAGACCGAGACAGACAAAAACTGGTCATGGGATCTTGACGGTCTACAAGCTGAATAAAGTCTAATAAGTTCACTTCACTGACATAGGCCGGGGCAGAATTGTGCACTGCTTTTAATTAACAAAAAGAAATCGGGTAAAATGTTTCATTAAAACACTTATTACACACTTTTCTGTTACTTTATTCAAACAATAGCCCTCGATTACTGAGAATAAAATAGTACTACGTTGTATAAAATGTTAACATAATATTTTCAAAAGCAGGAACATAATTTAACATCATATACCCAGACAGCACACATACGTTGGGCCGACGTCGGCCCCTTTAATTCTAACATCTATTTATGGTCGGCCAAACATACGCATGATCGTTCGGTCGTGTGTTCTATTGTTCCAGCTCAACAAACGTCGGCTCTGCATCGGTTAACGACCAGAGGCCGACGAAGCACTTCATAAGCACTTTATCTCTCATGCCCATGAAAGAATCCGGCAACATATTTGGTTTACAAGTAAGTTTTTGCGTGCATAATAAATTAGACAAACGCGACATGCATCATGTCTACTGCGTCGGTAGGTCCAGCTTTAAATAGCCTACATTCATGCAGTAAAACTGACCAAAATGCCTACAATACATGATTTCAATTCATTAAAATATAAAAAGTTTTATTGTTATGCTTTAATAATGAAAACGTTGTTTTTTTCTGGTGTTAACTGCTGTTTGCTTTTTTAAATACATTTTTCCCAGTGTATAAATCAAGTATGTTCTGCATTTCGGCTGTTTAACTAAAATAAACACCTTTTTACAGAGTGACATCTTTGTTTTATATATACTTGCATTTATATTTATTGGTTATTTATTATTGACAGTGAATAAATAAAGTGTTTGTTTTATAACAGTTTAGTAGGCTATAAAGCTCGTCTTAAAGATAATAGCGTATATAAAACTGCTAAATACACTTTAAATTCAAGATATAAAATACAAGGTTATTATTTAAATTGTCTATGGAGTGATCATGTTTAGAAATGTAATAGGCCTTTTTCACACTTCCTGGTTCCGGTAAGCGAAGCAGTGTACCACAACATCCGGTTTCAATGCGACGGAGCAAGAAAGAATGGCAGGGTCATCTCATCGCTGTGATTGCTGCGTTCCCAGCTGCTCCAACTCAAAAACGACACTCTTACTTTAATGACCACGATCTCCCGAAAGACGAAGGACAGGGAAAATCATGGATGACAATATTAAAGGGGGTTGAATGCCGTTTCAAGTTATATGCGGGAGTACACTCGTATGCTGTATGCACTTCAAAGCGGAGATTATTATGTTTCAATAAAGATTGGTGGTCTATGGTTTATTTTAATGAGTAACTATAATATAGACAAAACTCCAGTTAAGCTATCTGCCTTCCACAAACAAGTGCTCATCATGGTCATTAATCTATAAGCATGATTTATCCCTACATTGTTGTTATTTTGGAATAGACAGTTCATACAAATGCAAATCTCTTTTTTTAATTGGTTTGAAGGCAAAATTATTTGTTTAGTCAGTTATATAATAAAGATAGTATACTTTTCTTACAATGAAGTCCTTTATTACAAAATCTCAATAACCCAGCAAGTTTTCAACTGTTATTGGTTCAATTCCTTCAGAGACATGTTATTCATTCATGTTATTTAGAGGTATTAATAAGACCATCCTTCTGATGCATTGTCTTTTGATATTACTAAATCTTATGTCGGCAAATTTTGTTTTACTAAATACCAAGAGTAATGATAGAGCTATTCATACTCTTTTCCAAAAAGAAATCATTACTGTACCTTATATTCAATATTATTATATGTCTTTATTAAAGGGTGAATTGAAGAAAAGTGTGGCTGTTACCACAGAAGTATCATGTTAGAAATAGAATTAAAGAAATGTCCTATAAACTCATCCATAGTTTTTATCCAGCAAACGTTTGCAAAAATTTAAAAGTGGGATTGATGTAAATTGTATTTTTGTAACGAATATGAGGAGACAGTTTTACACTTATTTTGGCATTGTACATAGTCAGCTTATGGGGTGAGTTGCAAAATGTATTAATAACGATTCTTTTGTGTTCAAAACCTCTTTCATTATGGATAAATGTACATTTGGGCTTTACTTGATTATCCTAATCTAGAGGAAAATAGTTTTATTTATTTTATTTGCTTATGTTGTTAACAAAATTGTACATTCATAAATGTAAATCTACTAATATGAAACCAGATTTTAAGGTATTGATGACTGAAATATTCTTGTATAATACCAGTATCAACTCTCTAAACAAGAAAGCCCGACCCACTTTAAAATGTGTGAACTCTACAATGTATTCCATTATTACATATGTTATATTACATTTTGTATATTTGTATTTTATTTATTATTACCCCCTGGTATGTACATTTTTGTATTGTAAAATGTTATTTGCTGTTCTTCAAATAAATAATAGAAATGAATATTATCCACGAGTAGGAGCTAACGTGTTTCCAGACTTGAGAAAACCTTACGAGGATTAAACAACCTGTAATGTATTAACCGACAACTCGCCTGTACAGCTAACTTACCTCGCCATTCACTATATCTGACTCTGATTAAAAGGAAGGAAGGTTTTAGCACAGTTTACAGACGGGACTACTGACAAAACTCATCCTGCTGGATGTTAAATAGCCAGGTTAATCTAGTTTACGAATGGCTTGAATGAGCAGATTTTATCCTGTTGGCTGTGCACCTTACTGGAACCTGACGTGGCAAACGCTGTGTAAGACACGTTTTCTGCACAAACTCTGCAAATCGGTATCATCTTTTAAATGCTGTTTTATTAAGGCAGTTTTACACATTCACCGAACAACATCTTCCTGTCCAAATTATGGCAAAGTTGACCGTGAGAAAGTCATCCGCTGTCCCGAGGCTGTCATGTCTCTGCGACTCCTAGCGAACCCGGAAATATCGATACACTGCTTCGAAGGGCGCTTCCGGTGTTCAATTCCGCTGTGAAAAAGGTCTATACTGCATGACTTTGGTTTGCGCGCGCGCGCGACTCAATCCAAGGATGTTGCTATGGGAAACGAAGCTACAACACGACACGACACCACCTAAAAGACACAACACGACTTCTCTCAAGCTGCAGTTTTGACTGTTTTCAGGTAAGTTAAGTCTCTAAAACAAAACAAATACTACATAAAACTGCTTCTCACACTTTTGTTATTGGAAATTGATGAATATTCAGTTGAATATTATGTTATATTAGAGTGGTAAGTGTTCGTAAAAGTCCGTTAGCATATTAGCACTGGTAACGTTAGCGTCGGGGTAATATTACGTTAACTTACTTAATGTTAGCTCTTGTTAAACTTGTTTGTTAAAGTTTTGGCTTTTATTTATTCTTTATGTGTAGATGAGAGGTTTTGTCAATGTTTTATTGAATGCACTCCATATGTAGTCTAAAATACGCATTGTACTGTAAAGGACCGTGAATCAAAAGTTCAATCGTGTTTTGATGTTTCATGTTATCTTAAACAAATGTTAAGTAAAAAGGTGTTCTGTGGTTTCAGGAGTGAGAGAATAACCCCCTGCTACAGAAACTATAACACAAGATTCCTAAATTTCTGAAGGGAGCTGATCACAGAGATGCAGAAAAGACAGGTAACTTTAAGCAGAGGATTAATTCATTTGAATTTCCATTGCACATCATTATGCACGTTACATGTCTATATTTTATGCATCTGTTACTTGTCTTTATTGCAGTTATTTTAAGAAAGTTTTGACATTGAAACATGTGAGTGGTATTAAATTTCACATCACATGATTCTTCAGAACTTAATAAATATGCAGATTTGCTGCTAATGAAGTAATATTTGTGATTTTCATTTTGTTTATTTTTTATGATTAATTGATTTATTAAATCTTAGAAAAAAGTTTACACTAAATTATTTGTCATCACATCTGTTTTTAGCATTGATAGCAATCCGAAATGTTTCTTGAGCAGCAAATCAGCACCATTTGATAATCACCATTATATTAGTTCAACCTCAAGCACTAAATCAACGTCTTTAAAAAAGATTTCTGAAAGATCAAGTGACACTGAAGACTTGAGTAATGATGCTGAAAATTCAGCTTTACATCATAGCTATGAATTACATGTATATTTACACCGTTCACCCATCCCTTACACCTTAACTCATCCTCAAACAAGTCAATTTAAGCCCTAAATGAATAAATTTTGATTTGTACAGGCATGATATGCAACTTGTATTCAGTCGTTTTGTTTTTTCTTTCTTTTGCTTTTGTTTTCCACATCAACTGAAAAGGAGGTCAAAGTTTAACCTTAGTGCCGTGTAGCTGATGAACATCTTTATATGTAAGTATATATTTGACTGACTGCCAGACACTTGTCAAACAGTGATGAGCAAACGAATGGCCGTTCTTTTAAAAAGATCAGGGAGATGCAAGTCTGGAGATTAATATACATTTTAATTCAAAATTGATATATCTGGAAATATTTCATAATGTTTTGAGATATGTGCCCTATATGCATTTAGATGTCCATCCATGTTTAAAATACTTTTAAATTTAACAACGGCTGCAGCGATTAGAATAATGTAACAGTAGACAGATGAGGAATGTGAATATGTAGTTTAACTTTAAGGAGCGTTACTACTGGAACCATTTTTTTGTACAAATATATATATATATATATATATATATATATATATATATATATATATATATATATATATATATATATATATTGATATATTGATTTACCTGTTAAAAAAATTAAGCAAAAAATTAATTAAAAAGGTAGATCTGCTCCTGACAGACATGTTAACAAATCAGTTTATCTCTTATAAAATTCATTCATTCATTCATTCATTTTCTTTTCTGCTTAGTCCCTTTATTAATCTGGGGTAACCACAGCGGAATGAACTGTCAACTTATCCAGCATATGTTTTACGCAGTGGATGCCCTTCCAGCTGCAACCCATCACTGGGAAACAACCATATACGCTTATTCTCACTTATACACTACAGACAATTTAGCCTACCCAATTCACCTGTACCCCATGTCTTTGGACTTGTAGGCAAAACCGGAGCACCCAGAGAAAACCCACGCAAACGCAGGGAGAATTTGCAAACTCCACACAGAAATGCCAGCTGATCCAGCCAAGGCTCGAGTCAGCATCCTTGCTGTAAGGCGACAGCACTACCTATTGTGCCACCACGTCACGCTCTTAATAAATTATATTTATATAATGTTGTGTTTCAGTACATGCTATTTTGGGAAGACAAAATATAATCATAAGCTCTCAGAAAATTCAATAAGAGAATTAACTGCACAATTACTTGAAATGTGTGGATGGGATTACATTATTTGTTAACCCAAAGTGAGTTTCTCTTTCTTTGCAGTATTGGATGCCTGATTGCAGTTCAACTTCAAACTCAGTTGGACCAGCTGATCAGTGTCTTCGGTATTACCTCAATCTACTGGGCAGATGTGTGGACAGCTATGAGCCAAACTTGGGACGTTTGGTTTTTAGGTAATACCAGTGACAAAGTATTCAGTAAATTGCTTATAATAAAAGATGCTCACTGCTTACCCCCTTATAGTTAAGTTGTTTGCAGTTTCATTGTTGTAAAAATACCATACTTTTTCCTTTTTTTATCAGCAGGTGGAGAGACCGTCTGGGCAGCAGAAACAAGACAACTAATCATAGTTGAGTTAAGATTAGTATTATTAACTTGACTAGTTTGGTTGCAGACTTCTTCAATACTTAACAATTTGTATAAGTTACAAGATCAATGGTCCTGCTATCAATGTTTTTGTAACTTAAATTCAATAAAGTTTAGATACAATCAAATGTCCAAACCATCTCTGAGTGAATGACATCAAGGAAACAGGATCAAAAGATCATTCATTATAGACCGTAGGTAACAGCACATCCTTTGTGAAAAATAATTTATTTTTGTGTCATCATCACAAGACAAAATACATTTCAACTGATTTCAGTTGGTTATATTTTTCAGGTCATTCTGTTCTCCTGGTGGTGAGGATGTGCAGAGGCTGTATTTGTCAGTGTTAACAGACTTGTGCAGCTGTATCCAGACATACAAGCAGCTGACAAAGAGTTCTGGAGCAGCACAGACAGGTAGTTCACAGTGGCTAGGCTAGAAGTTTATACTTGGGTGGCCAGAAAGTGGCCTCAGCTATTTTGGGGGGTCCATACAAATAAACCAGTGTAAGCTGTACTATTGCACTGAAAAAATTAAATGAAAGAATTAATTAATCGGTTGAACACAAAATATTTTAAAGAAAGCTTAAGTATCAAGGTGGCAATATACAGTATCTGTTACATTGTAGTACATGAGCTGGCTAATACAGACTCGTAAATGTTTAGTTGTTAAGATTAGTTAAATACTATATCCTATACTTGAGACCGGCTGCATATACAGCTTTAACTGAACTGAATTTAACTAGAACTACACCAGCATTCCAAGTGCTCTAGACTAGCTTTTTGCACTGGTGCATCTAAAATGTTTGATGGCATTGCATTTAACACTGCAATTTTACATGTTCATTTTTTTTTAGATCACAATCCATAAAGGCAATATTGACTTGTAAATGATTAACTAAAATCGGGTCAACACACATTATGGGGATTGTGTGTAGAATTTTGAGGAAATAAATTAATTTAATTCATTTTGAAATAAGACTGAAACATTAAAAATGTGGAAAAAGTGAAGCGCTATCATTACTTTACGGATGCATTGTATATGGTTTTTAGCGCGTTATCAAAGACTTAAAAAAATAGTCCAACATTATCTACAGCAGCAAAAGACCCTCCACATCAAAAGCTACTGGTCAGCTCACGATTCAGCAAACATCTGAAAAACAAATAGCTTATTATGCCTTCACAAGAAATCAGTGTTTTTAAGTCTAATGAAGATAGTACTATTTTATTAAATTATTATTTAGCCTGGCATGTTTACTGTTACAAAATATTTTAAATGTTTCTTAAAATAAAACATATTAGCCCCTTTCACACAGTGATACCGGTAAATATCTGGAAAATTTACGGAACGACTTTACCAGTATATTCAAAAAAGCGCTGTTCACACAGGCGAGGACGTTACGGAATTTTTCCGGAAAAGAGCATTCACACATCCATTCCAAAATACCGGTAAATTCTGACATCATTCACAACAAATGAGCTTTAAACAGCTGCGCTTGTATTTGTAAACATTTGCCTAAATTACAAACTCTGTGGATGATCAATATTGTAAACAACTTTCGCAGGATCACTTTCGCATGTCGAGATGTTCATAATATGTGCGTGTGCAGGCGCTCACAGGCTGGTTCATGGGCACACGCAAAGCTTGAAGGTAAACAAACAACGGCTTATCATAAGCATCTCATCGATGATTATTTACACAGTTGGCATTAAGAAGAACATATAAACGTGATCTGACTAACTTCTAGCAGCTAAATGTGTCTGGAAAAATATTCAAAGGCTTTTATTCTCATAAACCGCGCGGACGTAAATGCGTCTGACTGTTCTGATTGGCTAAAGCAGACGTCTTACGTCAGCACGTTCTAGACGTGCACACGCTTATTCCAGAAATCTTCCTTCTGCGTTCACACAGCGCAGCATTCCGGCAAATTGCCGGTAATGTTACAACTTCTCTTTCCGGAAAATAGCCACAACGAATTTACCGGTATTTTCAAAAAGGACCTGTTCACACACACAACCTTTCCGGAAAATTGCCGGTAATTTTCCGGAAAGGTCTGTATGTGTGAAAGGGGCTATTGTGTTCAATGGGGAAAAAGAAGCTGTTTTTTACACAGAGATTAAAAAAAACAAACACATTTCAGAGCAGTAATCACAATACTGTGAAACTGTGATATTTTTATCCAAGATTATACCCTCAGAATCTTATACCTGCCCATTCCTAGCCAGTTACTTGAAGCATTCAGTCAGAGTTTTAAAATTTTTTTTCAGTTGGCCTATATTCTGTTTTTCTATGTTCTTGGAAATGCTGCTGTGCATGAAAATGACGATATATCCAGGTTCAATAGTTAATTCTGAAATAAATCTTAAAATGAAACAATATTTAAAAATGCAATATTTAATGTGTCAGACACTAAATAAACATGTCAATTCATTTATATTTATCTGATTCCTTAACAGGGCAGCACAGTGGCGCAGAGGGTAGCACGTTTGCCTCACAGCAAGAAGGTCGCTGCTTCGAGCTTCGGCTGGGTCAGTTGGCATTTCTGTGTGAAGTTTGCATGCTCTCCCCGTGTTGGCGTGGGTTTCCTCCGGGTTCTCCGGTTTTCCCAAGTCCAAAGACATAGGTGAATTGGGTATGCTAAAATTGAGTATAGTGTATAAGTGTGTGTGAATGAGTGTGTATTGGTTGCAGCTGGAAGGGCATCCGCTGCGTAAAACATATGCTGGATAAGTTGGCCTTTCATTCCGCTGTGGCGACCCCAGATTAATAAAGGGACTAAGCCCAAAAGAAAATGAATGAATGAATCCTTAACAGTTAATATTGGTATAATGATCAGCAGTTGTCATTTATGTAAATTAACCATTTGAGCGTGCTTAGTTTGGGGTATGTTGTGCCATTAAATTGTCAATAGGTTTTATTTTTTTTCTACATTTTAAATTTGCTTTAGCTTTCCTATAAACCTGGAAATATAAAATATATATATTTTTGGTTTTTAACAAATTGCTTATTTTATTCTTAGATTGGTGTTCGCTGATGGTCTGTTGAGAATTCTGCTGAGTTGAAGGGATCCTCCTGTCAGACAACCTCTCCAAAGTACAATAGGACTAGTATGTAACATCTTAAACATACACTACTGTTTCATAGCTTTTAGGTTGGTATGGTAAATTCTCTTCTGATAGTGTCAGCTTTATTTAATTAATACAGTCAAGCAGTAATACTGTGAATTTAATACAATGTATATAATTAATAGTGTCACATGATCCTTCTGAAAAAATAGTATTCCAATGTACTGATTCTCTCCTCAAGCTGTTTTTTTTTAATATAAAACATTTTAAATAAACATATTTTTAGTATTCTTGATGTATGAAAAGTTTATTTTTAAGAGCATAGTATTTATTTGAAAAAAAAAAGTTTGCTCTTTGATGATTGCTAACAATCAGACATGTTTCTTTAGAACAAAAATAATTTTTGCAAAAGTATTCTCACTGAGCGTTGTCCAACTGTGGTCCAACATGTCATTTAAGTTTTCAAATAAGCCTAAAAGACTTGATTAGCTGCATCAGGTGCATTTAATTAGAGAGTTGAATATATAATTTCTTTATATATCCTCCTCTATAGCCTACATATAATAGTAGTTGTTTGCTGAAAAACCTTTTTTGTAGCAGAAATAAAGCTATGATTAGGCCCACCCGGATTTTTCGCAGAACTCCGCAGATGTTTAGCCTATCATTAATTCTGTTTATTTACTTGAGTAAATGTGTGTAAATTTATATTTATTCAGTTTTTTAATTAATTTCAGTAATATTATTGACTAATGTGAAAATGTTCATCTGATTTATGTACAATGCCGTTTGTACAGTAATATTTTCTGTCTTACTAGATATGTTATATGAAAAACTTGCTTTATTTACCAAATATAGTGAATCTAATTGGATTTGCATTTTAAACATTAAATAAAACTTAAAAATATATTAATTTTTAATTTCATATATTAAGGTTTTAGTTATGATACTCCCAAAATAATTCCGCAGAAATCCGCAGACTTTCACCAAAATTTTCAGCAGAAATAGCAAAAAACATCTGCAGATTCCTCCTGGCCCTAGCTATGATATATTAAATGTGGTGTACAGTGTGACATTTTAGTTGACGAAACTTAGTTTAATTTGCATGTAATGTGGTATCTGAAGATTAGACATATATTTAGATACAGATTTATACTAACACAACGATACTAAAAACCAAAAAAAAAACATTCATTATGATTTCACAAGGAATTTAACTTTCAAATGGCTTTTCTGAAAATTAGTGCTCAGACACACTCTTTAAGGTTAAATTAAATTAATTATTTTAGCTAGGCACTTGCATAACAAATGCTCCAGTTATATGTCATGAAACAAATAATATATATTTGTGGTAATATGAACTGCTGCAATGCTAATCTTTCTCCTTTTGGTTTCTTGCTTTATTTAAGGGTTCCCACTACAAGGATTAGATTTGGCTACTGCAGTCCCGGTTTGGGCCAGCCTCACTTGTGAAGACTAAAGATGAAGACAACATACAAGAACAATTTAGAGGATGGCGACACACTTTTTATTCCACCTATATATCCCCTTTTATGTGTAACCAACATTCCACAAGAATAAAACAAAACTAAATGACAGGTTATTTCTTTTAATTTTGTCTGTTTTCTTGGAATATTGTACACAATTTACAACCAGCTCTGACCTATATATATATATATAAATATATATATATATATATTGTAGCGAGTCGGCTAGTACCACGTCGCCCTGGGCACAAATCCACACCAGCTGGATCACTCATCAACCCCGGATCGCTCACAGCTGGACCTCATCAGCCAGGGAGAGATATAAGCCAGCCCCACACAGGAGGAAGTTGAGCTTCATTTGCACATGACTCCCTGCGCTAACGCTTGTCTCTCTCTGTCTCTCCCACAGCCGAATCCAGCTCGTGACCGATCCAACACCATACCTCTCACCAGCCTTCACCATCTCCCCGGAGCACTTGAGCACGCACCCTTAAGAAGAGCACTCATTCACTACTTACCCACTTGTAAATAAAGCACCCTCCGGGGCATTGTTTGTAACATCATCTAACTGTGGTTGTGTTTTCCCTCTGCCTTGCTACAACTGGTGGAGAATGCGGGCATTGCAGAGGGAAAAATTCAGAAGAAACACTTACCATTAAGAAGAAAATAACCGCTGAATTTTTCTTTGTGTTTGTTACAGACAGGCATCCGCTCTCTCTCTCTCTCCCACGCTTCCTCTTACTCAGCTGTCAACATCACGTCGCCATGTCTCTGGAAGAGGTACTGCTCCACCTAGCGGAGATCTCCAGTAAGCAAAATTCCATCTCTGAGCAACTTACAGCCAGACAGGATCGACTGGAACAACAGCTCCGCCAGGTGGCCAGACACCATCCGACTCCCGAAGTGAGTGCGTTTCATCATCTCACTAAACTCAGCGACCTGGATGATATTGACGCTTACTTACATACGTTTGAAGTTATTGCCGAGAGAGAAGGCTGGCCAAAAGAAAACTGGGCGAGAATGTTGGCTCCGTTTCTCACAGGAGAAGCGCAACGAGCATATTTTTCACTAGAGACACCCAAAAACGAAGACTACAAAGCGTTAAAAAAGGAGATATTAGCCAGAATGGGGCTATCCACAATCAGCGCAGCACAACAGTTTTCCCAGTGGGCTTATGACGAGAAACAACCAGTGCGGACTCAAGCAGCACAACTTTCTCGTCTAGGAAGGCTATGGTTATTAGGAGGAGATCCCTCGGCAGTCCAGGTCGCTGAGAAGGTGATTATAGAGAAGATGATGCGAGCGTTACCCCGACGTTTGCGAACACTCACCAGCATGCGAAATCCTGAGTCACTGGCCACCCTGGTGGAGGCGATCGAGCTGGCTGAAGCTCACATCGCCAGAGACAATGGGGAGAGAGCGGCTCTGCCACCCCGGAGGGTAAGTGCACCTTGGCGACCGGTGGAGGGCACAGCGCGACCAGGCGGCAGACCAGCGGTCCCCAGCCCGATGGACGAGCCGATGCCCACCGAGCCGACGACGCACTCGACCCCGGCCTGGACAGCAGGGTGCGCGGTACACCGCAACATCCCTCCCGAAGCTCCCACCCATGAAGTCCAGCTAGAGGGAAAAACACAAACGGCCACGTTAGACACAGGAAGCGCCATCACTCTGGTTCACCCGAAGACCCTAAAATACCACCAGGAAAGTAAAAGCCTTATTCCAATCACGTGTGTACACGGTGATACCCGCCACGTACCCGCCCGAAGAGTAACCATCGCGGCGAAACCAGGCAGCTGGCGCATCGAAGTCGGGGTCGTTCCAGATCTTCCTGTGCCCCTCCTACTGGGCAGAGACTGGCCGGGGTTCGACGAACTCCTCACTCACCATCACGCTCTATCGGCTCGTTCAAAGAAGAAGAACAAGTCACGGGCTCATCGGGACCGCAAACCAGCGCTGATGACCACCGAGAGCGACAGAGGGGGTGAGTCATCAATATCCGCTAATTTATACTTTGATCTGTTTCAACAGATAACCGCAGGAGGCGATTTTGGCAGAGCACAGAGGGAAGATGAAACGCTCAAACACTGCTGGCCACAAGTAAGGATCATCGACGGTAATGAGCGACTTCCCAGCCCTCACCCCCTCCCACATTTCATTGTGGAAAATGGTCTGCTGTACTGTGTCGCAGAGAGGCGGGGGGAAAAGAAGACACTACTGGTCGTTCCGAGGACCAAGAGGGAGACGGTCTTAGAATTGGCACACACCCACCCGATGGCTGGACATCTGGGAGCGGCCAACACGGTGAAAAGGATCAGTGATCGTTTCCATTGGCCGGGGCTAGACGGGGAAGTGAAGAGGTATTGCCAGGCATGTGACATCTGCCAGAGAACGTCTCCCCAACGACCACCCCCCAGCCCTCTAATACCACTACCCATCATCGATGTGCCCTTCACCCGAATTGGTATGGACTTGGTAGGGCCTTTGCCGAAGTCGGCCCGGGGACATGAGCACATCCTTGTTATCCTCGATTATGCCACCAGATACCCTGAAGCGATTTCCCCTGAGGAAAGCCACGTCATCGGCCATCGCGAAGGAGCTGTTTCTGCTATGCAGTCGAGTGGGAATCCCAGCAGAGATACTGACCGACCAGGGCACCCCCTTCATGTCCCGGTTGATGGCAGACCTCTGTCACCTCCTCAAGGTAAAACAACTAAAAACCTCAGTATACCATCCACAGACTGACGGCCTTGTCGAGAGATTCAACAAGACTCTGAAACAGATGCTCCGACGGGTGGTGGCAGAGGACGGGCGCGACTGGGACCTCATGATCCCGTACGTGTTGTTTGGTATCAGGGAAGTCCCCCAGGCCTCCACAGGGTTTACCCCCTTCGAACTGCTGTTTGGCCGACAACCCCGAGGGCTATTGGATGTGGCTCGTCAAGCCTGGGAACAGGAGCCAGCCCCCCAGCGGTCGGTGATTGAACACGTACGGGACATGAGAGAACGCATCGACAAAATCATGCCCATCGTCAAACAACACCTGACCGAAGCCCAGCGCGCCCAGCAGAGATTGTATAACCGGCCCGCCCAACCCAGAGAGTTCCACCCAGGGGACAAGGTGATGATACTCATACCTACCACAACTTCGAAGTTCCTCGCATCCTGGAAGGGACCATACACGGTGGTAGAAAGGGTAGGGCCGGTAAATTATCGAGTCCGTCAGCCGGGACGAAGACGGGAAGAACAGCTCTACCACATAAATCTTATGAAGAAGTGGGTTGCAGCTCCAGGTCATCTCGTTGCCTTCGCTGAAGAAACTCTTCCCGTTGTCCACATAGGTGAGCAACTCTCACCAAACCAGAAGGCGGAGCTGCAAGCCTTGGTTGGTCAGTTCAAGGATGTGTTCTCGGAGAAACCGGGCCGAACCACCATCATCCAGCACAATATTATCACTCCACCTGGCACCATCGTCCGGCAAAGGCCTTATCGAGTACCAGAAGCTCGCAGGCTGGCTATCGACGAGGAGATCCAGAAGATGAGAAGGTTAGGTGTCATCGAACCATCCCGTAGCCCGTGGTCCAGCCCAATAGTGATGGTCCCCAAACCCGATGGCACCCTCCGTTTCTGCAACGACTTCAGGAAACTCAACGAGATCTCCAAGTTCGACGGGTACCCCATGCCTCGGGTGGACGAGCTGCTGGATAGGCTATGTGGAGCCCGATTTATCTCCACTATCGACCTCACCAAAGGCTACTGGCAACTTCCACTAAGTGACGACGCCAAGGAGAAAACCGCCTTCTCCACACCCGGTGGGCACTGGCAATACCGGGTTCTTCCCTTCGGGCTCCACGGGGCCCCAGCCACATTCCAGAGAATGATGGACATCCTGCTGAGGCCCCACCAGCCATATGCAGCAGCATACCTGGACGATCTCATCGTCCATTCCGAGTCATGGGAGGAACATCTATCCCGGTTACGGAGGGTGCTCTTAGATCTTCGACGGGCTGGGCTCACAGCTAATCCCAAGAAATGCCACCTGGGTCTAGCCGAAGCCAGATACCTCGGGTTCCACATTGGACGAGGTCTCATACAGCCACAACAAAACAAGGTCAAAGCACTACAAGAAACTCCACAACCCACCACAAAGACCCAGGTACGTGCATTTCTGGGGTTAGCGGGCTACTATAGATGTTTCATACCTAACTTCTCATCCATAGCCAGCCCTCTGACAGACCTGACCAGAAAGGGGCAGCCGGAGAGGATAAGATGGACCAAGGAAGCCGAAGACGCGTTCCGAGCCCTGAAGGCGGCCCTCACATCCTCACCGGTACTGCACGCACCTGACTTCGGCTGCCCCTTCATTCTTCAGACGGATGCTTCCGACTCGGGCCTGGGCGCGGTCCTCTCCCAGGTCCACGGCGATGAAGAACATCCCATCATGTACGTGAGTCGGAAGCTTACCCCCGCAGAGACCCGCTACGCAACGGTGGAGAAGGAGGCCCTGGCGATCAAGTGGGCAATCCTGGAGCTAAGGTACTATCTCCTTGGCAGGAAATTCACTCTGGTGACCGATCACGCCCCGCTACAATGGATGGCTACAGCGAAGAACAACAACGCTCGGGTCACCAGGTGGTTCCTGTCGCTCCAGGATTTCAACTTTGACGTCCAACATCGAGCCGGGGCCTCCCACGGAAACGCAGACGGACTCTCACGGCTCTGGTCAGGATGGGCAGGTCTGTCAAAACATTCTACCCCCCCTCTCAACACACTGCTCTTCCTTCGCAGAATACCCAGGACCAGGACGACGCTAAGGGGGGGGGAATGTAGCGAGTCGGCTAGTACCACGTCACCCTGGGCACAAATCCACACCAGCTGGATCACTCATCAACCCCGGATCGCTCACAGCTGGACCTCATCAGCCAGGGAGAGATATAAGCCAGCCCCACACAGGAGGAAGTTGAGCTTCATTTGCACATGACTCCCTGCGCTAACGCTTGTCTCTCTCTGTCTCTCCCACAGCCGAATCCAGCTCGTGACTGATCCAACACCATACCTCTCACCAGCC